AAGAAACTCTACTACTGCCATCAGTATGCCAGTTAAATATGAGGTTTGAAAATAATACTCCCCCCTACATCTCCCCACCCCACCCCCCCGCCCCGCCAGGTGCAGTGACTCACACCTGTAATCCCAGCACTTTGGGAGGCCAAGGCAGGAGGATCACCTGAGGTCAAGAGTTCGAGACCAACCTGACCAACATGGAGGGACCTCATCTCTACTAAAAATACAAAAATTGGCCAGGGGTTGTGGTGCATGCCTATAATCTCAGCTACTTGGGAGGCTGAGGCAGGAGAATCGCTTGAATCTGGGAGGCGGAGATTGTGGTCGGCCAAGATCATGCCATTGCACTCCAGCCTGGGCAACAAGAGTGAGACTGTCTCAAAAAAAAGAAAGAGAAAAACAAAGAAGGAAAGAAAGAAAGGAAAGCAAGCAAGCAAGCAATTACCCCTCCCCCCCAAAAAGAAAAAAGAATAATCCAGCTGCAACTAAATTCCTTGGGAAGCCTCTATATAGCTGCCCAAGGGGTTCACCTTGCCGGCTATCTAGTTAGAGCTGATTTTTATTTATTTATTTATTTATTTATTTATTTATTTATTTATTTATCTATTTATTGAGACGGAGTTTCCCTCTTGTTACCCAAGCTGGAGTGCAATGGTGCGACCTCGGCTCACCGCAACCTCCGCCTTCCAGGTTCAGGCAATTCTCCTGCCTCAGCCTCCTGAGTAGCTGGGATTACAGGCACGCGCCACCATGCCCAGCTAATTTTTTGTATTTTTAGTAGAGACGGGGTTTCACCATGTTGACCAGGATGATCTCCATCTCTTGACCTCGTGATCCACCCGCCTCGGCCTCCCAAAGTGCTGGGATTATAGGCTTGAGCCACCGCGCCCTGCCCAGAGCTGATTTATTAAGACAGGGGAACTGCAATAAAGAAAGAATAATTCATGCAGAGCGGGCTGTGTGGGAGACCGGTGGGTGGAGGATCAGGGTTTTAAAGAATAATTTGGTGAGTAGCGGGGCCAGTAAATCGGGAGTGCTGATTGGTTGGCTCAGGGATGAAATCACAGGGAGTGGAAGATGTTCTCTTATGCTGAATCAGTTCCTAGGTCAGGGCCACAGAACTGTTTGGCAAGTCCAGGTGGGGCCATCTGGTTGTTAGAAATGCAAAAACCTGAAAAGACCTCTCAAAAGTCGTATCTTAGGTTCTCAACAGTAATGTTACCTTTAAGAATAATTGGGGAAGTTGCAAGTCTTATGATCTCCACAATGGCTGGTAATATTTAGAATTCCAAGCCCTCTAATTCTAACTTGGTGGCTGGTGGCCTTTTATTCATTTTTATAAGAACAGTTTAGCTTTTGGGGAGGGCTATCATTTAAACTATAAACTCAATTACTTCCTTTTTCTTTTTTATTTTTTCCCTTTTCTTCTTTTTGTGTTTGTTTTGTTTTGTTTTTGAGACGGAGTTTCGCTCGTTACCCAGGCTGGAGTGCAATGGCGCCATCTCGGCTCACCGCAACCTTCGCCTCCTGGGTTCAGGCAATTCTCCTGCCTCAGCCTCCTGAGTAGCTGGGATTACAGGCGCACACCACAATGCCCAGCTAATTTTTTGTATTTTTAGTAGAGACGGGGTTTCACCATGTTGACCAGGATGGTCTCGATCTCTTGACCTCATGATCTACCCTCCTCGGCCTCCCAAAGTGCTGGGATTATAGGCGTGAGCCACCGCGCCCAGCCTTTTTTTTCTTTTTAGAACCTAGGTTTAGCTGAAAACTAAATTACTTCCTAAGGCTAGTTTGGCTTATCCCCAGGAATGAATAAGGACAGTTCAGAGGTTAGATGCAAGATAGAGTTGGTTAGATCAGATGTCTTTCACTTGTCATAATTTCCTTAGTTATATAATTTTGGAAAGGTGGTTTCATCTGTTCTTTTGAAGCCAGTTCCCATAATCTCTAGCACCCAAACAAATATACCTCCAAAGACACTGATACTGAGGTTTATTTCATAAACTTTAACTGCAAAGGCATTTGTCTCTCCTCTTTTTTTTTTCTCTCCAGCTAGCTTCCCTTTAATCTATCTTTGCTTTTTTTTTTTTTTTTTTTTTTTGAGACGGAGTTTCGCTCTTGTTATCCAGGCTGGAGTGCAATGGCGCGATCTCGGCTCACCACAACCTCCGCCTCCTGGATTCAGGCAATTCTCCTGCCTCAGCCTCCCGAGTAGCTGGGATTACAGGCACGCGCCACCATGCACAGCTAATTTTTTGTATTTTTAGTAGAGACGGGGTTTCACCATGTTGACCAGGATGGTCTCGATCTCTCGACCTCGTGATCCACCCGTCTCGGCCTCCCAAAGTGCTGGGATTACAGGCTTGAGCCACCGTAATCTATCTTTTCTTACCAAGAGAAATTTGGCAACTGTCTGTAAGTTCAGATCTTGAACAGTAAGAGTTCTAAAATATAAAATTCCCTTGAGTCAATGACTGATTTGCCTAATATGAAATTCTGGTGGGGAGGGAAAAAGGGAAGGTAACTATGGGGGCTTGCTGGGAGTTTAATTGTTGAAAAAGCATCTTTCTTTTTCTTTCTTTTTTTTGTACGGAGTTTCGCTGTTGTTACCCAGGCTGGAGTGCAATGGCACAATGTTGGCTCACCGCAACCTCCGCCTCCTGGGTTCAGGCAATTTTTCTGCCTCAGCCTCCCAAGTAGCTGAGACTACAGGCACGCACCACCATGCCCAGCTAATTTTCGTATTTTTAGTAGAGACGGGGTTTCACCATGTTGACCAGGATGGTCTCGATCTCTTGACCTCGTGATCCACCCACCTCCGCCTCCCAAAATGCTGGGATTATAGGTGTGAGCCACTGCACCTGGCCTGAAAAAGTATCTTTCAAGGTAGCATTTCCCATTCTGATCCTACATCTCTATTATTTCTCAGAGCAAAAATGCTGGTCCAATATTAAAAGTGGCTGTGAGCTGGGCACGGTGGCTCACACCTGTAATCCCAGCACTTTGAAAGACCGAGGCAGTTCCCAGTGGATCAGGAGGTCAGGAGTTTGAGACCAGCCTGGCCAATATAGTGAAACTCCATCTCCACTAAAAATACAAAAAATTAGCTGGGGGCCAGGCACAGTGGTTCACACCTGTAATGCCAATACTTTGGAAGGCCAAGGCAGGTGAATCATCTGAGGTCGGGAGTTCAAGACCAGCCTGACCAACATGGAGAAACCCCATCTTTACTAAAAATACAAAATGAGCTGGGCACAGTGGCTCATGTCTGTAATCCCAGCTACTTGGGAGGCTGAGGCAGGAGAATCACTTGAACCTGGGAGGCAGAGGTTGTGGTGAGCCGACACTGTGCCCTTGTACTCCAGCCTGGGCAACAAGAGTGAGACTTCGTCTCAAAAAAAAAAAAAAAAAAAAATTATCTCGGCGAGGTGGCAGGCGCCTGTGGAGCCAGTGTGGAGGCTGAGGCAGGAGAATTGCTTGAACCCAGAGGCAGAGGTTGTAGTGAGCCAAGATCGAAGGCACTACTGCACTCCACCCCGGGCGATGGTGGGAGACTCCGTCTCAAAAAAACAAAACAACAAAACAAACAGTGCTGTGAGCTGGTCTGAAGTGAGTTATCTCAATTGATTGTTCATGGTCAGTTACAGATGGAACTCCTTGTTCTACTCTTTCCCCTATTGTCACTACTGCATTTGACTAGGATATATATATCATATATATATCTCATATATATATATCCTATGTATATATCTCATATATATATCCTATGTATATATATCATATATATATCCTATGTATATATATCATATATATATATACATATCTCCTATTATCCTATGTATATATATGGCTTTAACAGTAGTTCGAGGGCTAATATCGGACAAGTGTGCTTCTAGACAAAACATGATTTGGGAGGAAATAAACTCCAAAGCAGAGCTATCTTTCACTATCTCTAACACTGTGTCTGTCTTGCAGAGACCTTGTGTAACTGGTTGGATGACTGTTTCTCTTTCTTATGTTTTGAGAGGGGTCTCACTCCCGTCGCCCAGGCTGGAGTGCAGTGGAGCAATGAGCCTCGAACTCCCGGGCTCAGGTGATTCTCCCGGAGTAGCTGGGACCACAGGCTCGCGCCACCACGCCCGCGTAATTTTGGTAGTTTTTGTAAAGCCGGGGTTTCGCCATGTTGCCCAGGTTGGGACTGAATCTTTAGAGCTGCACTCATGATTAAAAATGCTACCCTAAGCACAGCGAGGGTGTCCTTGAAACACATCCTATTTTCTGGGAAAAGATTACTATCACAGTAATTGAGCTGGGAAGCAGAGACAAATTGCTGTCGGCGGCGGTTCAAAGTACTGCAATTGACTGGAATCGCACCGCGCAGTCTTCCTTCGTCTCATGCAAGATAAGAGTGATAGGAACTGTCTGTATTGATTACCTGCAAGATAGAAGTAGAAGGGGGCCGCCGGGTGCGTGGCTCACGCCTGTAATCCCAGCACTTTGGGAGGCCGAGGCGGGCTGATCACCTGAGGTCAGGAGTTCCAGACCAGCCTTACCAACATGGTGAAACACCGTCTATATAAAAATACAAAAACTTAGCTGGGCATGGTGGCGCTTGCCTCTAATCCCAGCTACTCAGGAGGCTGAGGCAGGAGAATTGCCTGATCCCAGGAGGCGGAGGTTGCGGTGAGCCGAGATCGCGCCATTGCACTCCAGCCTGGGTAACAAGAGCGAAACTCCGTCTCAAAAACAAAACAAAACAAAACAAAAACCAAAAAATTAGGTGAGCGTGGTGGCGGGCGCCTGTAATCCTAGGTATTTGGGAGGCTGGGGCAGGAGAATCACTTGAACCTGGGAGGCGGAGGTTGCAATGATCGGGGATCACGCCCTTCCTCTCCAGCCTGGGCGACAGAGCGAGACTCCGTCTCAAAAAAAAAAAAAAAAAAAAAAAGAGTAGTAAAAGGGAAGAAATCCACAAGGAACTAGACTAGAATCTCAACACCGGAATGAAGTTACACGAATGGCCAGATGAAATAGGGAAGGCCCGTACCTACACGGCGGGCCGACACGGGGACTCAAGCACCCGGCGGAGGGTGCATCGCTGATGAATTTATTCACCCGGGATCGCAGCTCCTACAGCGGGCAGAAGCCCGCGGTGACGTCACGGGCCCGAGTCACGTGGCCGAAGCCGCCCCGCCCCCTCCCCGCCCGCGCCGCCGCAGCCTTCTGAGCGCAGGGTCTCGCAGCAGCAGCTGCTCGCAGCTCCCGGGGGATCGAGGAGGGAGGCCTGTGGGCGCACGGGCGAGTGGGCCGGGACCCGGAGCGGTTGAGGAGCCGGCAGCAGCAGCGCGGCGAGCCCCGGACGAGGCGATCGGCGCTCCTGAAAACTTGGGCGTGCGCTCGCGCCGCTGCACCCGCAGCGATGAAGATGGTCGCGCCCTGGACGCGGTTCTACTCCAACAGCTGCTGCCTGTGCTGCCATGTCCGCACCGGCACCATCCTGCTCGGTGTCTGGTACCTGGTGAGTGCGGGTCGCCCGGCCGTGGGCCCCAGGACCCGCGTTGCTTCTGCGCCCCCAGCTGGGCTCCTGGCCCGGCCTCGCGGTGGGGTGAGGCGCGCGCTCATCCGCCTAAAGTTGTATTATTAGAAACTTAATTCTCCAGGCGCCGCGTTCGCGCTTTCCCGGGTTAGGCCAGCGCCGACGGGGGGAGGCCGGGAGTTTGGGGCGCCAGGGGGCCGGGGTCGCGGGGTGTAGAACGGCACCCGACCCACGGCGCCCAGGTGGTGCGGGGATCCGGCCTCCAGCCTCCGCGCAGCTTCGCGGCGTCGCGCACGGCGCACCCGGGGCCAAGAAACTCTGAGCTTATCTGCGGAGCACGTGTTTCCTTTCTTCTTAAAGCCCGTGCGCTTTGTGTTTCGACGGCTGCGGGACGACCCAGCGGAGGTGACGGGGCATATTTTGAAACTCCGTGGTCAGGGTTGCAGTTCTCAGTGCCGCGTCTCCGCTCGGGTGTTGTCCTGCAGTTTCACGCCCGTCGCATGTTCGGATCCTGTGCTGAAGTAGCTGGGGGTTCTTGGCATCCTCTTTTGAATGGGTCCCCCGCCCATGTTTTAAAGCCCTTACTCCTGGAAGGAATGTGCGTGTGATATTCCATCTGCCTGGGGAAGCCATTTTACATCCACATTTTTCCTGCCCATGGGCAGGTGGTCCTCGGACCTTTTCTTGACAGACTGATCAGGCAGATACGGCATTTTTTTCCTGGTTGGAACGTTGAACATTTTCTTTATATGAGGAGCAGTGATTTTCAGAGGTAGGGAGGAATCCTGATGCAGTCTTGGTCTGCACCTGCCCTGCGTTAGTTGTTGGCACCCCTAGAGTGCAGCAGCACTTTGTCGGAGTCCACTGCATTTTGGGTTTTGTGCCATCATGGTGGAGAGTTAGACCCGAGCTGCTTTGCAGTGAATACCACTGCACCTCGAGGGAATGTCCTGAAAATGGTAGACAAATGGTATATATAACTTTTTTTATTGAGAAAAATTATTATTAGTAGTAGTATTTTTTTGAGACGGAGTCTCACTCTGTGCCTCGGGCTGGAGTGTAGTGCCGTGATCTCAGCTCACTGCAACCTCCACTTCCCGGGTTCAAGCGATTCTCCTGCCTCAACCTCCCGAGTAGCTGGGTTTACAAGCGCCCGCCACTACGCCCAGCTAAGTTTTTGTATTTTCAGTAGAGGCTGGGTTCACCATGTTGACCAGGCTGGTCTTGAATTCCGGACCTCATGATTCACACGCCTCAGCCTCCCAAAGTGTTAGAATTACAGGCAAGAGCTACCGTGCCCGGTGGAGAAAAATTAGTATCTCTTTAATAATGAATTAGGGGTGTGTGTGTGGTTTTTTTTGTTTTTGCTCATTCGATATACGGACTGTTTGTCGAACTGTGAACCCCTTCCCTTGTACCATTTTAGGCAAAACATTTCACCCCAGGCATATGGTGTTCACTGTGCTATTTATAGTTGCAGTTTCCTTTAGTCAGTGCCTATCATGGCCACACAATAGAAATTTTTGGCCGGAGTATATTTCAAACAGATATTTAGGGTCTGTGGGTTCTTCCTGTGCAGTGTAAATACAGATGTAACATCAGCGTATTAGCTCAACCTCGACTTTGCTAAAAGCCAAGAAATTCTTTACAGAAATTGAAAATTACAGCAAAAGGATAGTAGGTGGCTCAAAATAGTTGGTGTTTTTATTGATGATCAAGACAGACTGTTTTATACAAGTGTCTCCCTTCCTTGAAAATGTTCAAATCTTTCGACTTGCAAGTACATCAGTGAATGTAATTTGCAAAATCTAGGGCACTGCATTAGGCAAATGTACTACGTGATCTACAGGAAAGATAAATCCTGCTTGAGCCCAGTTGTTGGCTGCAATCCAACCAGACAGTGTTGGTGTGATAAAAACGAGGGTACTCAGCATGCTTTGTCTACTGTTTGAGCACACTCTGTGGAAAGTAGTTATTGGTGTGCTTGTCCTGGCTTTTGGAAAGAAATGGCCTTTTGAAAGATAATCAGAAAGCTTTCTAGCAGATGTGAATAAAAATGTTGCTGTAGGTAGACCCTATTTCTGCAAAACCTGGCGTAAGTACTGATAATCTCCTAGTCTTTTGCATTTCACAAGGCAATGTAAGCCTTTTTTTTTTTTTTTAAAGTAGTGAATTTCACCGAGACCTTTAAATATCATTTGCTTGTCCAAAACTTTGATTTTCGTGAACATATTTAAGACAGTGTTGTATGGCTAGGGAGCAGGACCACTGTAAAACAAGGCACCTTCCCTCGTTTGCCCTACCCGCTTCTCCCCAGCCATCTGGATGGACTGGGGTCAGTTATCAGAAAGTGGAGAGTTACAAATTAGCCAGATGTGGTGGCTCACGCCTATAGTCCCAGCTTGAGTCCCAGAAGTTCAAGGCTACAGTGAGCGGTGATTGGGCCACTGCACTCCAGCCTGGGCAACAGAGAGTAAGCCTTGTCTCTCTCTCTCTGGGTTTTTTTTTTTTTTTTTTTTTTTTTGCGCGACAAAGGCTCCCTCTGTGGCCCAGGCTGGAGTGCAGTGGTGCTATCTTAGCTCACTGCAACCTCCGCCTCCCGGTTCAAGCATTCTTCTGCCTGACCCTCCTGAGTAGGTGGGATTACAGGTGTGTGCCACCACGCCTGGCTGATTTTTGTATGTTTAGTAGAGATGGGGTTTCATTATGTTGGTCAGGTTGGTCTCAAACTCCTGACCTTGCTGTGATCCACCCGCCTCAGCCTCTCAAAGTGCTGGTATTACAGACGTAAACCACTGTGCCTGGTTGCCCTGTCTCTTAAAAAAGAAAAAAGGAGGCTGAGCACGGTGGTGAGCTCACGCCTAATCCCAGCACTTCAGGAGGCCCAGGCTGGTGGATCACGTGAGGTAATGAGTTCAAGACCTGCCTGGCCAACATGGTGAAACACTGTCTCTACAAAAAATACAAAAATTAGCTGGGCGTGGTGGCGAGCACCTGTAATCTCAGTTGCTTGGGAGGCTGAGGCAGGAGAATCACTTGAACCTGGGCAGCAGAGGTTGCAGTGAGCGGAGATCATGCCACTGATCTCCAGCCTGGGCGACAAAGTGAGACTGGTCTCTAAATAAATACATAAAATAAAGAATAAAAAAAAGAATAAAAAAGAAACAAAAGGGGAGCATTTTCACAAAAGGCAGATATTTAAATAAGAGTTCACAATAAGGGCTTTTTTTTTTAAATTGCATTTTAGGTTTTGGGGTACATGTGAAGAACATGCAAGATTGTTGCATAGGTACACACATGGCAGTGTGATTTGCTGCCTTCCTCCCCATCACCTATATCTGGCATTTCTCCCAATGCTATCTCTCCCCTAGGGCCTGTTTTAAATAATTTCCTGTTTTACAAGATAGGTAAAGTGGATCTTTTTTATTTGTTTTCTCATTGTTGATTCTTACCAAATACCATTTACTAGTGCTCTATCAGATACTTTACTATATAGTTTGCATAAGGTTAATTTTTACACATTCCTGGTGTGGTAGATTTTCTTATTCCCATTTTACAGATGAGAAAACTGAAGCTAAGGGAACTTCGGTGATTTACTTGAGATCTTCAAATGCCATGGTTGGTTTATGGTCTGAGTGATGTTTTAATCTGTTTTGTTTTCTCTGTTGTACTTATAAAAGTTGTGGATGTGTTTTGGTTTTGGCTTGGAATAATAAAAGTTTCCTTCAGTCCAGAAATAACATCTATTGGCTTCAGGTATTTATCTGTAAATCCCAGCACTTTGGGAGGCTGAGGCGAGCGGATCTCCTGAGGTCAGGAGTTTGAGACCAGCCTGGCCAACATAGTGAAACCCTGTCTCTATTTAAAAAATACAAAAAATTAGCTGGATGTGGTAGTGCATACCTGTAATCTGCTGAGGCAGGAGAGTAGATTGAACCCAGGAGGTGGAGATTGCAGTGAGCTGAGATTGTGCCATTGCACTCCAGCCTGGCAACAAGAGCAAGACTTTGTCTCAAAATAAATAAAAATTCTGTGCCAAGCTAACTTTGGGAGACTTCAGGTATTAGGGATCATTTTTTGTTTGTCTCTCTCTTTTAATTGAGTTGTGGTTTACATACTACAAAATTCACAGTTGTAGCAGTTTATTGAGCTGACAAGTGCCTGTGTAATGTAACTCCTGTTCCTTGAGAACATTTCCAAAACCCCAGAAGGTTTCCTTGTGCCATTTCCCAGTTAATCCCTGCCACCTGCCCCCATCATTGTAGGTAAGTTTTGCTTTTTCATGTAAATGGTTATGTGGTATGTACCCTTCTGTATCTAGCTTCTTTCACTTAGCATAACTTCTTTCAGATTCATTCAGTTTCTTGGAGTGTTGCTTTTTATTGCTGAGTATTGTTTTATTGTATGAATATACCAAAACTTGGTTATTCGTTTGCCGGATATTGGACATTTGGGTTATTTCTAATTTGGGGCTGTGATAAATAAAGCTGCTCCAAATAGTCTTGAACAAGACTTTGGGGATTTTTTTTTTTTTTTTTTTTGAGATGGAGTTTCGCTCCTGTTGCCTAGGCTGGAGTACAGTGGTGCAATCTTGGCTCACTGCAACTTCTGCTTTCCAGGTTCAAGTGAATCTCCTGTCTCAGCCTCTCAAATAGTTGGGATTACATGTGCCACTGTGCCCGGCTAATTTTGTATTTTTAGTAGAGGCAAGGTTTCTCTCTTTCGTCAGGCTGGTCTCTTAACTCCTGACCTCAGGCATGTGCCACTCTGCCCGGTTAATTTTGTATTTTTAGTAGAGGCAAGGTTTCTCCATTTGGTCAGGCTGGTCTCTTAACTCCTGACCTCAGGTGATCCACCTGCCCCAGCCTCCCAAAGTGCTGCGATTACAGGTGTGAGCCACTGCACTTGGCCACTTTTTTTTTTTTTTTTTTTTATTATACTTTTAAGTTCTGCCATACATGTGCAGACCTGGTCTTTCAAGG